CTTACATTTTTAAAAAAGTAAAATAAGATGACACTGGATGAAATCATGAGGTGTATCTATTATGATTCTCACAAATTACAAATAATTAAATTTTTAATATATTAAGTTACTATTACCTTTTTTTATTAGTGACATTAGAAATTATAAATATAAAGAAAATCAAGCTCACATTTAAAGTCGCTTAACCCACCGTTCAATGTCCCTATGAAGAAATTATATTAATATTACACACAACTTGAAATAATCCAGTAAGTGAACTTGTGCTTTTCTTCTTCTCATTATTATAATTATATCACATCCTCTGTGGTTACAGACAAATATTTACATTTTCTGTTTATTTATTAGATTCATTTAAACCCCTTGAGACGAACCATCTCATCTTTAAGGGGGTCCTTAACACAAAATCCAACACATAACGCACAACAGCACAGTTACTCACACATACACCGACATAAGCTCTCCCAGGCCTAACCCCTCCCACACCCACTGAGTCCTATATTTTTCCAGGAAATAATAAAATAATAAATAAATAAACATTCACATACCCATAAAAGTTAGACATAAATTTGCATGAGTTTACATGCATCATCACAACAGTGGAACATTATTTCCAGACTAATTTATAATTTATATTATATATGTTTTTTTCATGTTTGTTAAATGTCATTATCATGTGCACAGAAATGACTGAATCAATGCAGCTAATGCAAATTATCACCTCTTTGGTTGACTTCAAATAAATTTGAGTGTGTGTGTGTGTTGCTGTGAGTGTGAGTGTGAGTGTGGTTGTGTGGTGTGGTGTGTGTGTGTGGGTTGTGTGTGTGTTGTGTTGTGTGTGTGTGTGTGTGTGTGTGTGAGAGTGTGAGTGTGAGTGTGTGTATGTATGTGGAGGCTGATGGATCTCAGTAAACTGTTAAAGTTGTGATGGTCAGTGCATTGTGAGCCCACACAGCTCATTATTTTTAATCAGCTCCACCTTTATAGTCTGGTTACCTGTGGATGTGCCTCCTTCACAGCGCAGGTGTAAATAATAAATAAAAGGAACGGGTGGGCTGAATTCCATTTAGCTTTACAGTCTCAGGGTCCTGGTGTTGGTGCTGGCTCACCATCGCATCGCCACGTCCTGCTGGCACACCTGAATGCAGCAGAGCTCGTCATTAATGTTATTAGTTGCACCTGTGCTTTTCCTACAACGACAAGTCAAAATGGCTGCTGTGAAAAAAAAAAGGACTATTTGCACAAAACGCCGCTGCTCTCTCTGCCAGCACATACACCACACCGCCATGAAACGACACCTCTCTGTGTCTCGCTGTGTTTCTTATCCGTCTCCCCTTTCTCTCTTTTGCTTACACACTCACACACACACACACACACACACTCACAGTGAATTACATTTTGGTGGGAGGATGGAGAGTTATAAACACCGGGAAGTGAGCTAATGCTTAGAGAGAGAGTGGTGCCGAACACAGGAGGAGAGGAGGTGATAAATTGGTCTAGAGTGGGGGTGTAGTGGGCACATCCAACTCTCTAAAGATGACAGAGGGTAAATGTGTGTATGTGTGAGAGAGAGAGAGAGTGAGAGACCTATGCAAAAGACCACAGGCCTCCAAACACCTCCGTATGCCCAAATCATATTTTCTTTTCCTCCTCTCCTTCTATTCTTGCCATCAGCATCAGGTGAGCCAAGTTGGGAAGCAGACTGAGCAGTAATCTCTCTCTCTCTCTCTCTGTCTCACACACACACACACACACGCACGCACGCACGCACGCACGCACGCACACGCGCGCGCGCGCACACATGCACACACCCATGGGGTGTTGACTGGGATGCAAGCCTAGCAGATACACACTTGCCAAAGAACCAGGCCATACCAAGCCAACAGGCCATATAACCGTGTGTGTGTGTGTGTGTGTGTGTGTGTGTGTGTGTGTGTGTGTGTGTGTGTGTGTGTGTGTGTGTGTGTATGTGTGTGCTTGTGCCAAACTACTTAGAGTGATGGAATGTAAGATAGGCCCAATCTCAGCAGAGCCAGGAGGATCCAGCCAAGTCCAGACCGTGGCACAGAGGAGGAAGAGCTGGTGCAGCGAGACGGGGAGTGTGAGCTGGCTCCTGTGTCTTTCCACAAACCCAAGAGGAGAGCTGCATTTACCTGCTCTCCTTATTTAGATGTCATAATTCATCGCTGTACACTGCAATCACTTGGTATTAATGGTTGCGCTGTAATTACATCTGTGGACTGACACTTTACATCCATTCAGGCAGTGGCCTGCTCATCTCTCATGGTTGCCTAAATAAAAGCCTGTGCTCATGCCAGGCTGTTTGGAGAGATTTATTTGGACTCTGATTGGTTTATTTGAACTCACTGAAACATTTAGTCAAGAGAGAACACTGCCATTAAAACTCAGGTGGCACCAATAACAATTACAGACAAAGGGTGTGCTTTGGTGCCTTTCCAAAGTAACCGTATTTGGTTTGGTAGAAGTTAAAGGTTCTTTAAACACTGATAGAGCAGCAAACAGCTATTTTCCATGTTAATATATAGTGGAGTAATGGTGTCCTGAGCAGAGAGTCACACCCCCTCTGTGTGTGTTGTCATCTGAGTTTCTCTGGTCTTTGTTTTGGTAGCCGGCCTGGTAGCTCTTGCTCGTTCGCATATGTGCGTCCCTCCTGTTAAACTGTTGGCCCTTCCCACCTTTATAAACACACAGGGGCCGTCCACAGGTGAGATGACAGTGTAGTCAGGTGAAAGAGACTTTCCAAAATCTCCTCCACTGAAGAAGAAACCACACTTTAGTTTAAAAAAGGCCTCTGACAAAGACTGAGATCAGACCAGAGCACAGGCCATGAGGACTACCGGCTCAAATGCCGGCCGCCCGGTGGAGCATCACAACGTGCATAACATTTAGAAAGTTTTAAAAGTTTTTACTGAATTTCTTTCCCATTCCGACCGTCATGGTCAAACCGAGGCTGGAGGTGTGGCTGACAAAGCATTTGTTTTGGTCTGAGATGCTGATGGTCTAGTGCAACATCTAGGGGCAGTGGCAATTGTTCACAGAACCTGTAATATGTGGGACTGTCACTGTAAGGAGGTCTTAGGGACATTTTTTTTTCTATTATTCTATCCTGTAAAATGAATTTCCATGGTGAACTGTAGGGATGTTCCCCTTCATGGGCCCTGGTCCTGATCCGAGTCCTGTAATACCGGGTATGAAATGTAATCAGCATTTACCTTAATGTTAAATATGTATCAGACACGCTGAAATAACAAGCGAATCCTTCAGTCCACATTCTTTTTCACATGCTGCTCGATCCACATACTCAGGTCCGGATTCAAAGATGGAGCACAGATGGCTGCAGAGAGCACACAGAACCCACAGCAGCCGCTTTTATTCTGTCCTGCCATCACATTACTCACGGAATTAATGTGAATTAGTGACAGCTGATATGATGTGCTGTTGGCATGGTTGCTGTAACAGAGTCTGTATGACTGTGTGTGATTCCACTGTGATCATTTGCAATAGCTGTATGGATTCATGTGCACATGTACATGTAGATTTATTGGCTCAGTGACGCCCCCGTTCTTAGTGGAGAAATGCTGCTGGTAATCATGAAATGTTGCCAGTTCATGAGAGATGTGCCCGAGGTCAATTGCTTTACTCATCACTGTGTACACATAACTGTGTATAAATATCTGTGTGTCTGTATGAATGTATAGGCGGGGTGACCTTTTGAAACGTTATTGACAAGTGTTACAAGTGGGTGTAATGCACTTTTCAAGCACTCAATTGGCCAAATTACAGGGAAGAGTGCACTTGTTTAAGCTAGCTATCCACTGTGTGGGGTTTTACCAGTATACAATGTAGTAAAGATTGAGGTAGTGAAATCAATCAGAGCCAGACCTCCATGGGGTTTATCTTTCTGTAATGTAGTTTTCCAAGTCTAGTTTTTTTTTCTCCCTGATAAACTATAATCAAATCAAATTCATGGAAGAAAGAATGAAAATGGCCTGAAAACAGACAATATTAAAGATCCTGTGTGAGGCAGCAAACTTATCAGCTTCTATTCAAATTCATCTTCATTCCTCCTCCTTTACAAACACTCTATCAAATGAGAAAGAGTGGATAAGGAAAGGAAGAGGGAGTGTTGAAGGCAGGTAGGAGAGTGGAGAGGAACAAAGGGAATTTCAAAGGAGGGAGCTGCAGCAATGGAGAGTAAAAAACTGGTCTGGCCTGGCCCGGCCTGGCCTGGTCTGGCAGCCCAGCTGTGTCCTTCCCTTTATTTTTAGCTTTGTTTCTCTTTTGTCTTTTGCTCTGTCACCCACAAATACCACTCTTATTATTTGTGTGTGTATGTGTGTGCGTGGCGTGGGGTGGTTTTCTGCAGCTGCTCAGTCTGTTGTTATCTGTTGTCCCATTGTAAGAATCACCTCCAGTTTTGCAAAATGTTGCACCCACACTTGCGTCAGTAGTATTCTCATTCAGACCAACTTAACCTTTACCTGGGCTTCCTTACATCATACAGGCTACACAGCGTCCAGTTTTTCTTCCCTCCATTAATTTCCAAAACTTTCACTGAGACTTTTCTTTAAGGCTCAAATACAAATTGTGCTTTGTTGATTAATGTAGCTACATGTTTGTCTGTGGAGTGTAAATGACAGTAGAAAACAATTAAAGACACAAATGAAGCAGTGTAAATGATGTTTAGCAACTTCCAGCGCAGGCCCTAATATTTTACTGAAATAAACAAATACAGAGCTTTGCTCCTTATGATAATGAGGAGGAGGAGGAGGAGAAGGTTGGGTCTGATTGATGTGAAGTGGGAAGCGATGGAGGAGTAAAGAGAGGGGTGTGGAGGGGAAGGGTGTGGGAAAGAAGGAGTGTGTGTACACTTAGGACTGATTTATTTTATAAACATCCTCTCACTTTGAAATGTACACATATACTGTATCATGTGTTATCATTTTACAGTGGTGAAGAATGACTTGTGTTGATTTTTGCAGAAACCAAGCCAGGAAGTGGTCTGTGCAAACCAGGAAGCATCGCTCTGTTTGGAAACGTGGTGTACAGCGGGCTGCTCAACGAGCACTTCTGGCACTTCGGGGTTCCCCTCGTCACCAGACTGGTTAGTTCTTTATTTTTTCCTCTTTTCACTCCTCCTTCTCTTCCGCTGACTCTGAACATCTTCCAGTCCAGCAGCTGCGTTGCCACCGCAGCGCGACTGGGGAAACACTTCAGTGGTATATGAACGTAGTGTCTAGGAGACAGGGTCGCCTTGGTGGATTGTCTACTTGTAGTGTTACAAGGTACAAGCGCGTAACACATCTGTCCTAGAAACATCTGGAAAAAACACTAAAGCTTGTTAATCAACCTGCATTATTTCTTTATCCTTTCACCTCAGTGTAACAAATACATACACAGCTCCACACTCACAGCCATGCCCACCAAGACATGCTCCGGTGCTACACTGGTACACTGAATGCTACTTCTACAAGCAACAGAGTAATGCAACCAAACTATTTTTCATTCAGATGCTTACATAGCTTCTACTAGAGGCCTGCCAGTACATATGTTGACCCCTCAGAGGGAAGGTCTTTCTCCATGTGCACTTGATGAACTCATCAGCTGTAGTAACCGGATTTAAACCTGCTTTTATGAAAGTTCGTTTTTTATCCTGTTGTTATTTTACTTTTCAAAAGCCTTGGTTGCAGCTCGTTTGATCAGTGACGTTGATCGTGTGGCCAGGAGTCGATAAGATCAAATGTGACGGTGCATGATGACAGTTTTATCATGTAGTGGGAACAGAGTGCAGACATGTTTAATCAGCCAGAATGGATATAAAGTTAAAACCTGCTGCTTTGACACCACACCCATTTCTCTTTTTATGGTCAACACATAGCGTCATTTCCTCGTGAGTGCTAGGGAGCACTCGCTAGTTGTAGGGCTCAGCTCAGCTACCCCCACTGGTATCTACACTCACCTTGCACATGATAGTGGTTACTTAAAATGTTCTTGTGTTGTCAAACTGGGACTTAACTGGGAGAGTATGAAATTCTTTTTCTGAAGGCTCCCCTAGGCGGGATATATTCAAACCCAAATAGACTCGGCACATGGCTCTCACTACGAAGTAAATCACCTACACACAGGTACAGACACCTCGCATCCATACATGTGTGTAGATTCTGTTGGGAACACAGTGTCACATGTCACTTAACTCAAGTTGTTTATCTCAATACCTCTGTACTACTGAGACAGTGTAACTAACTGATCATGAGACACAGAGACATGGGTTGTTAGTTATGGCTATTTACTGCCTCAACCAGTCACAGTCCCTCTTATCCTCTGAAGGGCCCCACTATAATCTTATCCCCACTGCTGATGGGAATAAGCCAGCTGAATCCTATCCAAAGACAGACAGTGAGCTGTTTTTAGGGCTTTCTTATACAGACCTAAAGAAGGGGCTACATCTGTGAACACCAGCTAAAGTCTTACAGGCTAGTTTTTGCAGCAGGTCTGAAATGTGTCACATGTGGCTGTGTGTGTGGAGGAGGTGAGCAGCGATAGGTTGTGGGCTGGCTGTGCGTCTGCCAGTTGTTGTTACAACTTCAGGATCGGCCCTGTAAATAATGCATTGGGTTCTAGCATTAACACAAACTAATGCAATATTAGTGGTATTTCAATTAACTTTGAATTAGGCTGCAATATCTTCCATGTCACTGGCTGATTGCGCAGCTCTGGTTTATTGAACTGCTGATAAATGTTATATTTGATAGATATCGATGTTGTCTCCCTGTCAGGATACAACAGAGGATATTTGCTGGCACAGTCTGATCACTCGCCTGTGAGACGTGCACACACACACACACACACACACACACATACGCACACACAGATTTGTCTACTTGCTTAATGCCAATTTTGGTTTGCGGCAAAGCGGTTATTGTCTTTGTTTGCTTTTTTTTCTAGATATTATGAACTCAGATAAAAATAAAAAAAAAATCACTATTTGTAAGTTGGAAAGCAGTTGTTGTGTCACATGTTGAAGAGCAGGAGCACCATATCGTGCATCTACACTGTTTCTTCTCAACATTGTGAATATTTTAACTGTGTATTCCTACACAGCAGCTGATATCATCAAAAATTATTATTAGCTATATCAGTCATGTTTTATTTACAGTGATGCTGTAATGGCACACGCATGCACGCACGCACACACACACACACACACACACACACACACACACACACACACACACAAACACACACAAACAGACACACACACAGCTATTTTAAATGATTCAGTGCATTGCAGATGTTGAGTGTCAGTTGGAGCTCTCCAACAAAGATACCAGCGTTAACAGCTGGCCTCACTCAACTCCTCATTCACTTTTCATAGCTCTCTTCATCCATTCATTCATCCATGCATTCATATATGCATTCACTTATTCATTCAGTCATTCATGCATTCATTCAGATGCAGCGTGCAGTAAGAAAGCAAAGATATATTGTCATCAGCTTTTTTAATGACAAACATGTTTGTTTTAAAGGTTGTTGATGATGATGATGATGATAATGATGAGGATGATGGTGCAGTTTGTTATTTATTGTTTGGTTGTTTATACTGTATAGTAAACATGTCCAACAGCCTGTGCTGGACTATGGGTTCAGATCAAATGGCAGATTCTAATATTTATTGACTGGAATGGTTGATGGCCAGTGTTGTGTGTCAGTGTTCAATATTGTTAACCATCTGGTGTTTTCATTACTCTCAGAAAAACAAGTGTTTAGATAGAAAAAATACCAGCCAAGAAAATAAAGTTGAATAAACTAACATTACTCCTCAGTCTGTGAAAACAGCAGTGGTGGAAACTAATTAAAGGTCCCATGTAGTATAAAGGTAGATGTCCATGTGGGGGGTCTCTAAAAATATGAACAATGTTATTTTGCCATGTATTTTCCCTAATCTATTCAAATGCATAAAATCATACATGACGGCGATGTATCACTATTTCACTTAAGTAATGTTTCCTTTATTAAGAATTGTTCTGTAGGGTGTGAGTGGTGGAGTGAGAGAGAGCGAGCACGGTTGTTGTACGTGAAGGTGAAGCTCACAACTTGAGCAGAGAGTGAGGACTAGCTGTAAGTAGCAGGCCAAGTAGTGTAGCTGGTTGTCAGAAAATAAATGCTGTACTCCTTAGGACCAAAGGCCAGGCTCATGTGTCTTACTTTTTTTCACACTACAGTTTGAAGTGAAAGGGGTTAGCCCCGGAGTTTGGGACCACTTCGGTCCTGGAGCATCACATATGTCTCCCCTGCCAAAAAAAAAAAAAGGGAGCTCCCCTGAACGACATGGTATAGTTCGTACACTGACTGTGAAAGTATCAAAGCCTCAGTCCACAGATAAATGCACACAGCTAGTATTCAGAAACTGAGCCTTAAAACCAGCTGTCAGGACTTTCTGTAACTTGGTGATGTCACAACAAAGCAGTCACAGCTCTCAGCCATGCCCAAAGCCCCGCCCACAAGGACCCACCATCCAACCTTACAGGATATGGTTTCTCTGAGTGTTTACCTGAAATCTGCTATATTTTTACTAGAGCACTCAGAAAACAGTCAGCCAATCAAAGAGAGGCTCAGAGCTTCCTCTCTTTTGATTGGCTCATTGACCTGTTGTTACTAGAGCTCCAGAGAGAAGCCTGAGAGAGGAGATGTAAAACTACATTGAGACGGTTTCTGGTTCTTAAAACCACAAATTTATCTTCTTATGGATCGACACTTCAAATAAAACACAGAAGAAGAAAATATGGAGCTTTAAGTACGTTACTCAAATACTGCACTTATGTATGATTCTGAGGTACTTGTACTAACTTGCATATTTTCAGCTACTTCATACCTCCTCTCTACTACATTTACATTTATTTGATGACTTTCATCACTTCGCAGAGTCAGTTGATGAATACAAAGTGACCAACAAATAAAGTTTGATGTATTATTAAGATTATTAAGATAACCAACAGTATATAAAGTAAGCATAATTAGCTCCACCTTTGCTAGCTGCAACATTAAAGGCTGGCTTCTACACCAGGACCATCATCCAAAACAAACCTCAAAATGCTCCATGAACTACTTAAAGAAACACAAGCTGAGGCTTTTGGAGGTAGCCTTCACAGCCTCCCTGACCTGAACATCACTGAGAATCTGTGGGTGGACCTTAAACATGCCGGACGTGCAGAGGAGCCTAAAAATATCTCAGAACTTGAAGTGATCTGCGAGGAAGGCTGAGTGAGAATCCCTGAACCACGAACAGAAAAACTCTCAGCATGCAACAACAAGCATTTACAGGCTTTTTAGTTTTTTCATGGTCTAATGTGCACAGTTGCATAAAACTATATATACATATAAGGAAAACACACGTTACACACGTTATACTGAATTGTAGGCTGGATTCAGAAGCTTTTTTTTTTACTTATACCTTTGTCTAACAGACACATAATTAATGTGCTAAATTAACTAATTGAAAGTGAATGGATATAGAGCTGCTATAAAAGCTTGGAGGAGGTGTGTATATACAGTATACTGCACACTGTGTATATATAATATATATATATATATATATATATATATATGTATTTGAGCTGGACCTATGATGCATGTCTGCTAGTTTCTAGTTTGGTGAGGAAAGAGATATTGGTTTCTTGACACAAATTGTGGGATCAACCTCTTTTGTTGTTGTTCTCTCAAACAATTTGCCCACTGAGGTGTTGTGGTGACTTTTCACCTTAAAGTAGATTAAGAAAAACTTGAAGTGAAATGGATCACTTCAGGAATGAGTCTGGTGATATTTTATATACTGTCATTGTGAAAAACAATCTCACAAAAGGAGCCAAAACAACAATCCTGATATTTCTTATTCCTCTGTGTCATAGAGCTCCAGAAACTATTAAAACACATCAGTAAAGCCGCCACGCTGTTGCAGTGGGTGACATGTTCATTTGTTAGCATGAACACACACACTGTAGTTTATATGGAGAAGTTTATATAGAGGAGTGAAGTCATAACGTATTGATGGATGGACTAACACGTTGTTGGTTTTGGTGGTTGTTTCCTTCACCAACCAGCCAAATT